AAGGATCATGTGACACTGAAGCCTGGAGTAATGATGCTGAAAATTACATGAATCGTTTTGCAAATCTTCATAATGGACCCAAACAGAAGCATCATTACTATACTGCATCCCAGCCACATTTCTGCAAAGCTAACGTCTATTTTGTGATGAAACAGCTTCAGTAACATCTCTCAAATGTGCTCTGATCAGGTTATAGGAGCATAACGTGGTCTGTAGACATACTCCTGACGACTCAAGTGCCTGTTGTTGTTCTGAATCCTAAAAACAAAATGTATCAAGTTTTCCCCAAAAATATGAAGCAGCAACATTGATAATAATACTTTTTTTCTTGAGCATCAAATCAGCAGATAAGAATGATTTCTGAAGGATCATGTGAACATTTCAAAAACATTAAACAATGTAATTAAACTTATGATATAGCAGCAGAGACGTAACTTTAATCATGCACTTTAACCTAGCCAGCACACTTAGACTAATATTACTAGCTAAGGAAAGTCATCATAATTGCTTCTTAAGTTTCTAGATGTATAAAGTACTTAAATTTATTGTCACGTAATCTTAGAATACGCTGCATACGATGACATTTTAACAACATTTGTATTATAACGTACCACTCTAAAATATATATGAAGTGATCAGACAAGCTATTTTCTTCAAAACGCCTAAATATCAAAGCGGAACTACATTTCAGTTCATTGTAGTTGTCCTCCCGGGCAGAGTTTACAGTGGCGCTCGTTATATGACCGGAGAGGATCACGCCTGTTATCAAAGAGTACAGAAGAGCTTTGCTGTTATGAAGAAACCCTCAAGATGTCACAAGTCTGCATGCATTTATCACGGTCTTCTTTAGGCCACAATGTTTTTACAAGCCGAAGTCATGCGAATTTAAGGCAAGTGAATATTTTTTCCTTGTATAGATGATTAAATAACCATTATTTACCTCAGTTGAATTTATGTAACCAAATTGCTTTGTATTGTACATTAATTAAAACAAGCCTTTAATGAACTGAAATAGTTTAATTTTTCTTTAAACACTCTAATGGTCTCTTAAATTGTCAGCTGACCTTGGCTAGAGGGAGCTCTGTAAATCATATTTTAATTATTGTTTTAGGCAAAAAGCACAGCATTTATTCCTAATATTCTGTAATGTTATTGATGGCATTTTAAAAGTAATGTTTCACTACATTTTTATCTCTGTAGACCATGTGTCGCAAGGATGCTGTCCGTGACATCACAGCTTAATGCAAAGGCCAGAAAACCTCCAGATGATGAGAATGAAGCATTCAAACCCAAACCCATCCAGTTCTCAACCAGCAAAGCCAGCCACCGAACCTGGAAAGTGGACCGCTCGATGGGCAGCACTTACCAGCGGCCCTGGTGGAAAGTTCTGCCCATCAGCATCACTGGAGTGGGCTTCGTCGTCTGGTGCATGTTCAGGAGAGAGAGCGAGATAGACGGGTCTCTGGAGAAAAACCTCTATGAACATTTACCAGGACTGCTGGCCGATGAAGAGCAGCAGGACGTCGGCATCAAAAACAAACCCTCATAGTGGCTTAAAAGGGACATTTTCGATTTGAAATGTTTATTTATGGTTTAGAAGTAAAAGGTTTTCTCCAAGCTGAGAATCATCAAATCGACCGTCCACATTCTGTGCTCTTGAGAGTGTCTGTAGCTGGGTTTAAATCGAAGATTGTAAAGTCAGCGGGATTGTATTGAAAGCATAATGGAGACACTTTGGAATTGTAATTTTGGGGGTGACTGCTAGTTTATAAATGTCATCAGGGAACCATTATTGGACACTGAAAGTCAACATTGAGAATATACTTTAAATAAACTAATTTTAGCATTACATAATCAAAGGGGGCAATGTAAATTATTTCCTTGATATGGTTTACAAACCATAGACGGTGAAACTTACATTTTTCATTACATTATGAAAGTCAAACTAAAAATGGGTGAAATACTTTGCACTGCTCTTATTAAAAACATGACACGAGATGTGAAAATTAAAGGGTTGCAAAAAGGTTTGCTTTTCCTGAGATTTTTTTTATCAACATGCCACTAGCTTTGGTTATTATTAGGACCTAGAACGCATTTAATCAAACTTGTGTATATATAATCATGTTAGCAAGTCTTTTGTGTTGGAAAGACAAGTTACAGCTTAAAGTTAAAACAGTGGCATCTTAAACCCTACTGAAGACAAAATGAACGGCAAGAAACATTGAGGTAGTGGAAAGTTTATTTACAACCAAATGGCCACAATAGAAGAGAAACCCAATATTATAATAATGATAGAACTAAAATGGACATTCTAACTCATGGAGCATGCAGACTAGGCAGAGGCATATGAAAGTCTAAAATACAAACTTTAAAACCCTGAGGAGCTCCCGGAATGTTCTGACGCTGCCCCCCCTACTATCAACTTGAACCACAAGATACCCCTCCCCTACCACAACTACCAAAAAAAAATACAAAAATAAACTTAACTACACAGGCATTTATAGTCAAGAGTGTAAGAACCCTGATGCCCCACCCACCCAACCCTCCCACACATCAAACCCCACCCCCATATATTCCTCCACACACAAATAAAAAAAAAAGTAGAGTAAATAATAAAGAGAGTTTAAGCGCGCTCTCCACGGATTCGACGGGCCAACTGGATGTCTTTGGGCATAATGGTGACACGTTTGGCGTGGATGGCACACAAGTTGGTGTCCTCAAACAGACCCACCAGGTATGCTTCGCTTGCCTCCTACAAACCAGAGCAAGAAAACGTCATTACGAGCGACCAAACAAACAAAGTGTAGTAGCTCTATACACAACCCAGAACTAGAAAACACACCTGCAAGGCGCCGATAGCAGCACTCTGGAAACGCAAGTCAGTCTTGAAATCTTGAGCGATCTCACGAACCAGACGCTGGAAAGGAAGCTTGCGGATCAGCAACTCCGTGGACTTCTGGTACCGACGGNAATTATTGACTTCGTTATTGGGGCAATGCATGAAATTCACTGAATAGAAATTAAATCATGTATATAACATTATATTGTGCATATACTAAATAGATATAAAACAGTCACTTTGTCTCTGTACACTGAATATAAAAAATACACAGTATAGCATCTACAATATTCAGCATATACACTATATAAATGCTCATATTGTGTATATACTGAATGTAAAATACACAAATAATTTGTATATTCTGCATTTATACTGTATATAGATTTTTGTATACAACGTCATTTTAAATCATGTATATTGTTGTGTATAAGTTGAATATATACACACCATTTAATATATTTGTAGTATTTATATATTCCGCTCATACATTCAACTTAAACCTCTTGTATATTTTAAAAAATGTACGTACATTATATCGTGTATATACATGGTGTAGGCCTATACATTTTTATTATGTTAAAAAAAACCATGTATATAAATTATACTGTATAAGCTGAATATATAAAATAAACACGATATAACCATTTACATGTGTATATACACCGAAATCTCTCGTGTATATACACCGAATTGATTTATATATTCAGTATGTACACTATAATACATAACGCCTAGTGTATACAGGAAATAATGTATATAAACAATTGTCCATGTATCTACTACTACACGTGCTCAGTGTTTCTCACCGGTATCTGTGGGGCTTCTTGACTCCACCGGTGGAGGGCGCACTCTTCCTGGCCGCCTTGGTGGCCAGCTGCTTCCTGGGGGCTTTACCACCGGTGGACTTACGGGCGGTTTGTTTAGTACGTGCCATGGCACTCTAAAGAAGCGGCCTAAAGAGACAAAAACCGATAAGAAAGAACAACAGCCGCGAGGAAACTCCAGCGTCTGTCCCGCCCAATAATAAAGTCATGCAGGAACACATTTAATGTTTGGGAAATGGACACCATGACAATAATATCCTAAATAAAGGCGTTTACAACTTGGGGGCGCCATTTAGGAGGATTAAAGCTAAACGGAGACTTAAAAAGGTAAACGAGTTGACGATATAAAATTCTATAAACGCTCAGCTTTTATGCATTAAAGTGCATACAAAGTCAAACATCTATATAAGCAGATAGAAAAGCGAATCAATAACCTGAACAACTTGCAGGGGGAAACTGAGTCACACACACACACACACACATAACTGAATCCCATTCAACACACACACACACACACACACACACATACATTGCCTAAAGGCAAAAAAAAAAAAAAAGTCTTCAACGGCAGCGACTTTCATTCACCCATTCAGCAACTAGTAACTGTTACTACATATACGCCACGTTCTCTTCAATCACGGCGAAAGAGATCAGAAACGGAGATGTAGCAGCTCGGAGTAATGCAGTAGTGAGGTCCACCATCTCAGGACGAGA